AGCTGTGAGTCAGACAGGTGGAGACAGAATCTATCAGTTTGAGCAGCCATTTTCACTAAAATAGGCATGAGCCAGAAAGGAATATTAAGGCTTTTATTTTGAAATTTTCAGTAAGCCTCGTTTAAATGTCCAATCTATTCACATGAGTAACAGTGATTGTGTTAAATAAGTTCTAAAATGCTCCAAACAGCAATTGATATAAAAATTGTCAAGGCTTTTATTTTGAAATTTTCATTGAGCTTAATTTTATTAGATTAATTAAACTTAATTAACTAATCCCATATGTAACAATGGTTGGTTAAAATCAGTTATAAAATGCCAAAACACAAGTAGTTCTAAAGGCCAACACCTTCCTCAGAGCTCTGCCACAGTAAAAACTACAGTGATGCGTTTTTGTAGTTCTAATTTATAATTCTAAAGGCCAGCTCCTTCCTCAGAGCTCTGCCACAGTAAAAACTACAGTGATGCGTTTTTGTAGTTCTAATTTATAATTCTAAAGGCCAGCTCCTTCCTCAGAGCTCTGCCACAGTAAAAACTACAGTGATGCGTATTTGTAGTTCTAATTTATAATTCTAAAGGCCAGCTCCTTCCTCAGAGCTCTGCAACAGTAAAAACTACAGTGATGCGTTTTTGTAGTTCTAATCAGCTGCTGGGCCCTGCTGTGCTTCGTTGCTATGGTAATTAATCCTCTGCAACTGTCATGTGTGAGACAGAAAGAATTCTATCTTTGTGAGACACCCAGTCAGTTTTGACTGAAAAAAGCGGTCCGAACAACTCCTTCCCGTTCAGAAACCGTGATACGTATCGGAAACCGTTTGAAGCGTATGAGAGCGCTATCTTTCATCTCCTATAGTCCCGCTATTCATATCTGTACATCACTCACATTAATAACAGCGACGAGATAAAAATGGTGTGCGCTGAGGTCTGACATTTTTCAGAAATACATGGAAGTGATCCTGGCTGAGCGAGTCGAAATTCTGTCGCATCACTTTGCTCTGAAGCCCCTAGACAGAAAACCGTAAGCCCTAGAAAAATTTTGAAAACATTTTACCGGAGCAGGCATGCATATCTATGTCATGACCGAGTTTCATACCGATAGGGCGATATTTGTGGGCGTGACTGCGATTTCAAAATTTATTTGGGGTCAGAATCTCACTGCTTCCCACACTCTAACGAATCGTTGATTACACTCTAGTTTGGGCAGTTTCTAACTGACAAGAATTTTTGATGGTTTTTCGCTTTTTACTTTTTTATCGTAACTCCGAATCCCACCAAAAGTAATAGCACCCCTCCCGGCGCCGAGCCGCACAATTTGATACCACTTTTGTGGTGGGCTCGCAGCGGTACGAGCCGTGCGAGCCCACGGAAGAAAAATAAATAAATAAAGAGACATTCTATTGGGTGTAGATTGCTTTGCAAGTCAGTCACTGCTCTCCTTATGCATTGCTATGGGCAGGCCCCAATAATAATAATAATAAGAGGCATTCTATTGGGTGTAGAATAATAGGTGCCTGCCATGCAATGCATGGAGTCAGTTACTGACTTGCTTTGCAAGTCAGTAACTGCTCTCCTTATGCATTGCTAGGCAGGCCCCAATGAGGATTTATTACTCCTAAATCATATACCCTGAAATATGACCATATTCCCTTCTTAAATTGAGCAAGCTTGGAATAGATTCTTTTAAGTTTGAAATAAACAGGATTATGTCATCTGCATACAGTGAAATTTTGTCTTGTATTTGCGTCATTGTAATGCCTGTTATAGATTGATGGGACCTTACAGTGCTAATGTAAAACAAGGGGCATAAAGTACATCCTTGACAACATCCTCGTTTGATAACAATTGGCTTAGACACATTTTTATTTGTTAATATTTCTGCAGTAGAATTTAAATATAATAAGTGTACCCATTTTCTAAATTATTTCCATAACCAAAACGGTTTAAAATGTTGAATAGATTGGGTCCATTTGACTCGGTCAAACGCCTTCTCAGCATCTAGGGAAAGAAATGCAGATCCTGACTTAACATCCAAATCAAGAATAATGTTTAGAAGTCTCCTCACGTTGTGTAGACCGTGCCGACCCAAACAAAGCCATTTTGATCTTTATGTATCGCTGAAGGAAGTGAGTCTTGTAAACGTATTGCTAATAATTTACAGAATTTTTCAGGTCAGCATTTAGCAAACTTATTGGCCTCATGTTCTCACATTTATTGCTGGGTTTTCCCTGGTTCGGGTAACACAAAGATCAAAGCATTTGTCATAGATTTTGTTAGGCCACTGTTACAATATGCTTCCTGAAACATCTCTAAGTTGTTTTTTAAATGCTTTATAAAAGTCTACAGGGAACCTGTCAGGCCCAGCCTTCCTCCCTGCCTTCATGCAGTCAGTAGCTCTACCCAGTTCTTCTTCTGTCATTTCAGCTTCCAGGTGTCTCTAAAACCTTCATCTATCGAGGGATGATGCTGCGTCTCGGCCTGAGCTCACGGAGCAGCTTGCGGACTCCATCATACTGTGTGTCTCTGTAGCTACGTCGTTGTAGAATCTCCCCTGTTGGTTTTATCTGTTACTTTGCTTGCTTTGAAGATCATGTCCTTTTGTATATAGTTAAGGAACCGCAAAATTATGGTTCTTGGGGTTCTTCTGCATTCCTCTTAGGGCCAATGCGATGGGCTCTTTCCAGAATCAGCGGGTTTCTCAGGGAGGCAACTCCAACACTTCTGGTAAGCAGTTTTCCAAACATCCACAGGCATCGGAGCCCTCTGCGCCTTTGGGAGATTCACCAAACTGAGATTGTTAAGGCGAGATCTTGTTTCTATGTCAGCTATTTTTGCCTCCATTAGCTTGTTCGTTTCCTCCAAGCTCTTAACTTTGTTAGTTAGCGACATTTGTTCGTCTTCCATTGTGGACAAGCGCTCCTCTGGCTGCGTCAAACGTTTTGTACATTCACCCACTTCTTTCCTCACTGTTTCTATGGCTGTCATAACACCATCAAATCTTCCAGAAATCTCAGATTTTAAACTCGCTTTTGCTCCAAGTGTATCTGCAGTGTCACCGAGTGAGGTCGTCATGTCGCCGCTGTTAGCTGCTAGTCCTTTATCAATTCCCTTGCTGCTGCTCGGCGCCTCGCTAACGTTTTCGCTAGTCACGTTTATGCTAAGCTCGACGTTTTGTGGACCGTAGTCCGTCAACTTGGATTGCGTCTTTATCTTTGAGTCATCTTTGTTCAGTCTTCCAGGACCTGGCATAGTTTCATCCAACTCAAACTTAGGTACGGTTGCTGTAGCGTCCAGGAAGTTTTAAAAGGGAATTTTCAGGATGTTTGTCAGGAGCAGTGTCAAACACGATCTTTCACCTGGCGGTCATAACCAAAGTCCCACATAGAAACTATTTTAATAAATTCAAATAAAAAACTTCTTAATGCCCTGTTGACTGGATCACCTGTAATATACGAGTCAGTGACTTGAAATGACTTTTTATAAAATGTCTTGAGACGACAGTTGGCACTGTGGAAGATGATTCTGTCTGATGAACTAATCATTTTAATAGTTTACATTTTTAAAAAACCTCACACAGAGAAAAGTATGTTGAGAAGTTGCGTAGCGGACAGAGCAGGGCGGAGTAAGGTGGAGGCTCCATTAGGTTCCAGGGAATCATTCTGACCTGCTGTTAAAGCAGAGCGACTGTTGAAACATCAGCATGCTAAACTGATTAGCATCTGCTAACAGAAACACCTGGAGGTTTCCTGTTTCAACCATAAGTGGCAACTTATTGATCTGCTTCACATTATCGATAGGATGTGTGTGCGTGTGTGTGTGGGGGGGGAGGAGAGGTGTGTGTGTGTGTGTGTGTGTGTGTGTGTGTGTGTGTGTGTGTGTGTGTGTGTGTGTGTGTGTATGTGTGTGTGTGTGTGTGTGTGTGTGTGTGTGTGTGTGTGTGTGTGTGTGTGTGTGTGTGTATCTAGGTGGAAAGTGCATTGATAGATTGCTGCACTGGAGTGCAGGGTCTCAACTGCATAGTGGAAAAAAATCAACATCAACTTTCTGAATATGACACAAAGTGGAAGAAGATGATGACAAACAGCCAACAGCAAAACCCTGGGGAGGAAACTGGGAAGACTGGGACTCCTTGAGGAGTTTTCAGTCACAGGAACGACTGGTTGAAACGGCGCCAAAAATCTGATGGAGGAAAATCTGTGATGGGACTAGAGACAAAGTTTATGATGGCCGACTGTCAGACTGATGAGCCTCAATACAATCTACACAACGAGCTCAGATAACCTCAACCTTGACCTCTGACCTCAGCAGGTGTTTTGTGGATGCAGAAAGTTGAGTAAACAGTTCTTAAGGTACCGAACCCGTCTGGACTTCACTGACCAGAACTCGTAAAGGGTTAAGAGTCCAGAAAGATCACTTTGATTGGACTCAAACGGGTCGGGTCGATCCGAGCTTCTGGTACCGGTTCTGGATTTCTCAGAGGAACGTTTGTAAAAATCCTGCTTGTTTGAAAGTTGTGCTGTGAAAAACCGTCTGCCGCCGATAGAGGGCGCTGCAGTCAAGAGCATCGGGCCCAACGCGCCGCTCGGAGGTGAACATTGACCGTCTGACGGTCCGTGTTCAGGTTCATGACGTCACTTGTAAAGGAGAAACTTTCACAGTTGGACCCGAGCGGCTGGAGACGATCCAACCTGCAGACAGTTCTGAGAGAAAACAGCAAACTGTAGAACTTTTCTGTGCTGCAGATGAGTTTCTCTCTGAACGGGTTCGGTTCTGGGTTCGGTTCTGGCTCCGGATCTCTGCTGGAGATTAATGGTTCAAGCGCAGAGGAGAGTCAGAGTGTCCGTGGGCGTGTGTGTGTGTGTGTGTGTGTGTGTGTGTGTGTGTGTGTGTGTGTGTGTGTGTGTGTGTGTGTGTGTGTGGGCGCGCGCGCGCGCTCCGCCCCGCCCTCTCCCTCCTCCTATAAAGCCCGGCTGTCACAGCTCAGAGGTTACTGAGCAGCAGGAATCAGCCCCGCAGCCCGCAGCTCCACGCAGCTTCTCTCTACGCCACGCAGAGCCTCGTCTCGCTCCGTGTCCCGCCAGCTGGTCTCACCTGAGCTCCTCACCTGCGCGGCCCGTCGTGTCTCACCCTGGATTCGCGGAGCGTCTCGCCATGCACGCCGGGCTTTAGGTTCTCCATGGAGCTGTCCAACCTGTACGAGGCGGCGCCGCGGCCCCTGATGAGCAGCCTGACCCACGGCCAGCAGCCCCCCTCCGGCTACAGAGACCCGGCGGACCTCGGTGGGGACATCGGAGACAACGAGACCTCCATCGACCTGAGCGCCTACATCGACCCGTCGGCGTTCAACGACGACTTCCTGGCCGACCTGTTCCACCACGGCGCGCGGCAGGACAAGCTGAAGATGATGAGCGGAGACTTCGAGTCGGCGGCCCCGCAGCAGCTCTACATGCCCGGCTACATGGACTCCAAGATGGAGCCCTTCTACGAGCACAACCCGCCGCGCATCCGCCCAGTGGCCATCAAGCAAGAGCCGCGGGACGACGAGGACCTGAACCTCAGCCTGCCGCCCTCCTACCACCACCCGCACCCCCACCCGCACTCCCAGTACTCCCCACCACCAACAGCCGCCGCCGCAGCAGCAGATGCCGCACCTGCAGTACCAGATCGCGCACTGCGCGCAGACCACTATGCACCTCCAGCCGGGACACCCGACCCCGCCGCCGACCCCGGTGCCCAGCCCGCACCACCCGCACCACCCGCAGCAGGGCGGCCTGAAGCTGCTGGAGCACCAGCGGGGGGCCGCCAAGTCCAAGAAGCACGTCGACAAAAGCAGCCCGGAGTACCGGTTGCGGCGCGAGCGCAACAACGTGGCGGTGCGCAAGAGCCGCGACAAGGCGAAGATGCGCAACCTGGAGACGCAGCAGAAGGTGGTGGAGCTGACGGCCGACAACGAGCGGCTGCGGCGCCGCGTGGAGCATCTGACCCGGGAGCTGGACACGCTGCGGGGCATCTTCCGGCAGCTTCCCGACGGGTCCTTCAAGCCGCTGGGCAGCTGAGGGGCGCGGGCCTGGGACTGGATCCGAACTGGACCGGATGGATTACCTGGCAGCTGAACTTCACCGGAACATCCGGAACATCTGGGCCGGTTCTCCTCCAGCAGCTACCAAACGAACCAAAGCGCACAAACTGATAGACTGGAAGCAGCTTTGGTTCGTTCCGGACGTGTTTCTCACCGAACCGGACCCAGAACGTGTTACTGGACCACCAACCCACTGCCTGAGCTGGACCAGACCGGACTCACTCTGGCGGTTCTGCCCGGCGTTTGTGCCTTTCTGAACCTCCTGTGCCTTATCCCTCCAGAACCGAACCGAACCGAGCCCGATCCATGCAGTCAGCTGCACCAGAACTGTGAGGAGGCTGGATCTGGCTGCGCCGAACCCCCTCAGACTGGACCCGAACCTGCGCTCTCATGCACCTTGTCCCAGACATAACGGTACTGACCCGGTACCGATCCGGACTGAACAGAACGTTCTGCTCTAACTGTGAACTGGGCGGCTCTTCCTCTCCTCCAGTGAGTCATCCTCACTCACTCAGTGCCTTCCGATCGTGACCTTTGACCCGCTCCGTCTGTTCGGAACCGAGGAAGCAGCACTTTGTTCGAACCTTCCTGACCCAAATGTAAAATAATTCTCTATATAAATAAATATATGAATGAATATGAAATACCAAAAACTGCAGCAATGTAATAAAGCAGCTTGTTTCATCTCATCTTCCTGTTTCTGTGCTGGAATCCTCAGATTAAAGATAATCCAGATTATTGATCACTGATCATCCTGACTGATGAGGCCCAAGCTGTGGCTCGGGGGCCATTGGTGGTCCAGAACTGTGTTTACTCATCAGGTGAAATTATTAAAATATTCATTTTTAGTAACTAATAAAATAAACAGAACCAGGCTTGTTGCAGACAAATTCGCTTTGGTTCTATTTATTACACTAAAGCTCGGCGCCGACCCGAATCCTGTTTTCACTAAACAGCAAACATATGAAAATAATAATCAGAAGACTTTATTTTATTTTTCTTGATTTTATTTTTCTATATTGTTTTCTTGCAAAACAGATGACGTCACATATGTTTTGCTGATGTGACGTCAGAGGTTCTGATGCATCTGATTGGTTCTGGTGAAATTCCTTTTCCTGTTTCTGAACCGCAAGGCTCCGCCCACTGCAGAAACACCTGAAGAAACTCACCTGTCTCATTGTGACAGATTTTTATCTTCTGTTGCAAACAGATCAGCTCAAATCTGTCACTGAAACGGGTCAGGAACCAGCCCACATCACCACCCCTCCACCGCCGTGCTCAGTCCCAGGTGTTTCTGCTTCCCTCCCTCCAGAGGACTTTTTTCCCAGAAGCCTCGGCTCTGCTAACCTGAGTCTGGCAGCCATCTTGTTTCAGAGACAACAGGCTTTTTGTGTCCTGACCTTTGACCTTTAGCCTGCTACCTGAGGCCAACTGAGAATAAAACAGGAGCATTTTCAGGTAAAAACAGAAATCCAGAATTAGGAGAATAAATCAGAACAGATCAAAATGACAATTTGAAACAATAAACCAGAATCAGGATAAAAATGTTAGATGTTATTTCAATACATCAGGACTGAAAACAGAAAAATCTTAGAATATAACCAAGATTAAAGCAAGACAAAACCTGGATTAAGATGAAATGGAGACATCAGAAAGCCTCAAAAACAGATTAATAATCTATAAAAGTCCAGACTGAATTAAGATTAGAGAGAAAATAATAAAACAAATATCAGCATAAAGTCATTCAGAACAACTGATCATAACCCAAAAATAAAAACCTGGATTAAACCAGGATATAATCTGGAGGAAACCCAGATTATGTCAGTTCAAATCAGTGTATTCTAGAGGAGCTCAGTACCGAACCAGAACCAGAACCAGAACCCAGGCAGCTCTGGTTCCTTCTCACGGTTTTGCTAAATAAAAACAGCAGATTTCCCAAAAATGTAAATCCTCTCATCAGAGATGGATCAGAACCAGAACCAGAACCATCAGCTGATTTATGGGTTTCTGTGCTGAAAAGGAAGAAAACATGTGTTAGAGGAGAACCGGGCCAAACCCGAGCGCCAAGCGGGTCCAGATCAAAAGTTCTGATAAGACTGAACGTTTGGCCGCGAGCCGGCGAGGAAGAGGAGGAGGAAGATACCTGGAATGAAGCTGCGGACTCCTGATTCCCTCTGGATCCGACCTGGACAGATCCGGATCCCAGCAGAACCTCTCAGCGCAGCGCGGCGGTCCGAACATCTGCAGGTTCTGTTCAATAAAACACAAAGATTCATTCCTGAGCAGCTGAAGGTTTTCTGCCCCAGATTAAAACATGGAGCTTCTTCCTGGCAGCAGCAGGACGATCTGGAGATTAATTATTGATTAGCTGATCAATAACCAGATGCTGACGGTGATCAACAGATTATCCCGACTGAAGGAGGTGAAGCCGATTTACGGAGCAGGAAGGTTTTCATTTCAACAGTTTTCTTGTAGATTCTGGATCCTCGATGAATTGATTCCTGAATTAGTCGATTAGTTCAGTAACTGATTCATCTGGTTGTTTCAGTTCTCATGGTGGTCGGATCAGAACCAGTTTCTGATAGCAGATCCGACCCTCCTCTCACTGGGCTGTAACTCTGTGGTTCTGGCCCAACCCGACTCGGCGTGTGAACGATCTCGGACCTGTAGCGGGGTTCTTGGAGCGAAGCCGGCCATGTTGGCCGCTCGCTCTTCCTGCGCATGGAAGACATTATCCTGTTAGCGGCTGGAACGCTTCCCCGCTTTCATTCCCTGCTCCTTTCCAGGTTCTGAGCTGAGTCCCGCACCGGGCCAGAGCCAGAACCAGGGTCCAGGCCCGGCTGGCCAGACTTCAGGGGGAATAACCCTCTCTCACAATCAGAGGAGCTGAAGCTGCTTCCAGCTCTGCTACTGACAAGCTGCTGAGGCTCCACCAGGTAGCAGGAACACGGCTACAGATCACCACAGTTAGCATCACCCCAGATAGCATCACACTGTTAGCATCACCTCAGTTAGCATCACCACTGTTAGCATTACCACAGTTAGCATCACCCCAGATAGCATCACCACTGTTAGCATCACCTCAGTTAGCATCACCACTGTTAGCATCACCACAGTTAGCATCACCCCAGATAGCATCACCACTGTTAGCATCATCACAGTTAGCATTACCGGAGATAGCATCACCGCAGTAAGCATCACCACAGTTAGCATCACCGCAGTTAGCATCACCACAGTGAGCATCACCACTGTTAGCCTCACCGGAGATAGCATCACCACAGTTAGCATCACCGGAGATAGCATCACCACAGTTAGCATCACCGCAGTTAGCATCACCACAGTAAGCATCACCACAGTTAGCATCACCGGAGATAGCATCACCACAGTTAGCATCACCGGAGATAGCATCACCACAGTTAGCATCACCGCAGTTAGCATCACCACAGTTAGCATCACCGGAGATAGCATCAGCATAGTTAGCATAACCACAGTTAGCATCACCACAGTTAGCATCACCGCAGTAAGCATCACCACAGTTAGCATCACCGGAAATAGCATGACCACAGTTAGCATCACCACAGTTAGCATCCCCACAGTTAGCATCAGTGCTTTCAGCATTAGTCCTGTCAGTTGGGTCTATCAATATACTTATTGGTCATATCTTCTATGAATGAATGTTGTCAGTAGCTCCTTGTTTTCTGTTTCCAGTTTTTTCTTCCATATTTCCAGTTTGACTCCAGTTTTCCCATCAGTGAATTTCCAGGAATTCACAACTTGATCTTTTCGGTTTTAGACCAGGATTTGCAAAGTTTGCCGCCAGCCTGGAGGTTTAGGACAACCAATCCAAGTTCTACTGGTCCGACCAGGCTGGTTCTGGACTCAGATCAGTTTTAACCTCAGTGGTTTCACCTGAACTGGACCTGCAGCTTGAACCGGACCAGGTTCCCAGGCTCGGTACCGGGTCGGCGAGGTGCTCTCCTGCAGCAGAACATGTGATGCTGTTTGTTTCAGAGTCCTGGTTTCGTTGACACGTGGTGAGTCCGAGGCCCGGTTTGCCTATCTGTTCTGTTTGGCCAGGGTTGAACATTAACCAGAACTTTTCACTCTGCTGAGAGGACAGGCGGTTCTGTCCCACTTTGTCCTCTGGACGTGTCCGACAGGGCCTGCAGTTCTGGACTGGATCCAGAACCACCGGATCTAATCCCCTGGTTAGTCCTGGTCCAGCAGAAGTCCAGTCCAGTCCAGTTCAACTAGCTCAAAAGTGTTCATACAGCACCGCTAATGTTGAACGTAGCAGGTTTTTTGAGGTTTTAGAGTCGGTCCCACAGCATGATGCTTCTGCCGCCTGCAAACATCCTGGAGCCAAACAGCAGCAGACAATTGGAACAGACAGCTAGCTTTTGGAAAATCATTGGCCTCGGAAATATTCAAGATGGCTCTCAAGGGCAATTTAATTTTGCACTAAATTTGCCAATATTTATCACACATAACTAGGAATCATATTTCCTGATATGTTTTTAACTTCAAATTTCAAATTAGATGAGTGTTTGGTGTCAAATCATAACCTATATTTTGAAACGTAGAAATCAAATATATTATTTATATCTTGTGTTTCCTTTTTCTGGTGGACATTTTTCAAAATGGCCACTATTGTTGTCATGCAGAATAATTACTTGCACTAAAACAGCAAAGTCTGAAAATAAGACTAACATTCCTTAAAAGAATCTTAGATCCACGAAACAACTAGCAGGAGCTAACGCTAACCCTGAAGATCGATGTCTGTCTTCTTCTCCTTCCAGTTTACAGCCGCTGTGAAACTCGCTACCAGCAAAGTCCCCAGTTTCTGATGCTGCATTGAAGTCTATGAACAGGCCGACCAGAGAGGAGACGTAAAGGTCAAAGAGGTCATGAAACACCTTTAAGCAATAAGTGGTTCAAAAGGCTGGAAAGAATGCCGTCATCTTAAGACTCAAGTGAAAAACATGTTAGCATTAGCATGCTAATGCTAACACCTCAGTGATGAGCAGCAGCTTT